TAAGAGATTGAGGAAGTGACAGATTCAACACCTTCGAAGGAGGCAAAAATTGGACCTTATCTTAGTTTTCATATTTTTTACTATATGAAAAGTGGGCATGATTATTGTGCGAATTAGCCAATTTTCTACACCATCCAGTCTTGATCTCTATTAACTTATTACCTACTTTTACTCCAATTAAAAATTAATTCCGCTCCTGGAGCGCAACTCATTTGCTTATATAAAACTGATTACCTGCTTATTTGTCATAATTGATGTCACTCAACAGCAGTAATATAATTGCAATTAGTTATTGATCCAAGCGGAAATGTGTAAATTATTTAGAGCGCATCAAAACTGATTACAGCGCTAAAGTGATTATAAATATTCAATTGAGCATAGCATTTGTGGCTTTCAAATTGAAGGCTTTAGGATTGCAATATTTTTAAAATTAAAGTTTTACAGATGATTTATTTACAAACCCGCAATTGCATTTGACTATGAACGAATGAAAGAGAAAAACGTTTTATTGGTAAATTTTGTAAAAGAGCACAAAATAAATTTCGAGTATAATCAATCGCCTACGGCAGGCAGAAGAAGAGCATTCCGTAGTTCAGTATTGCAGTAGCATTTTATTTCGTCATTCGTGGATTTAAGTGTATGTACAACAAAACCTTTCTCAATGGTTCATATCACGGACCATGGCAATGTCTCTGAGTTTCAGAGCCTTAGACTATTGCGAGTAGATCTAACTGCCAACCTTAGTGTTCAGTTTGGAGCCATCAGCAAAAATTTCGCTAGACCCTGGATCCAGGTCTGTACGGCTCTCCGCAAGTGTCGTTTTAAAGAGGATTCATTAAAATATCTATAGTCTTTCTATAAGGGGGTGGAGGAAAATCTTCCCTCGACTATCTGTATCGCTAGACTTATGGTAGTGTAATGCCAGCCAGCAGTATCTCTGACTTGGCGGCCGGTATTTTGAAGCCATAGAAGAATTGTGTTACTGTGGTGTTCCAGAGTATGAGAGAGTACGCCTTTCTGAAAGTCACCTCTCTGTGGTGATTGCACTAAAGCCCGATATATCTGCACTTTAATGAGCGACCTATCAATGGTCTCAGTTTGATTTAGCGGAAATTCTCTTTGTAGTATTTTAGTTTTTGTAGTATTTTAAGAAGAACGGATGTAAAGTTTTTGTAATGGAGTAGGTTTAGCAGGAGTCCATTCGCTACCTGGTGTGGTATATTGTTTTGAGCATCTGCAGCTTTTGATAGAGAACCTAACATATTTAATCGGTTACCCCGAGCTTTTCCTCTCCGTTCCCACAGAAGTTCTTCCAGGACTCGCTTTGCATTATGCTAATAGACCTGTGAAACGTTTGTAAGGATTCCTTGTAGGCTGGCCACACTGAACCAAAAATCCATCTCTGGATCAAAGAAAAACTTTCCTTACTTTAAGGTCGAAAATTCTTCCAAATGAGTAAAAAATTCTCCCGGATGCGTATTTTTTTTTTTGAATGTGTAAAAATCTACTCGAAAATATGGAACCGTGGATGTAATCTATCATTTTGAAGAAATGTTGGGCATGAAAGGAGGATAAAACTTCTTTAGTGTTGTTTCGTTCCCATTTTTCTTCATTTTGATTGCTGGTTTTCTTCAATTATGATAAGTCTTTTTTTGGGTGCAAGATACCGTCATTTTTGCAAGGTCTGGGAGGAGATTTTAGGTTTAACCACTCAAACCCAATATTTTCCGTAATAAAACGGAGACGCTGTAATACGTGGTTGCGAAGAACATGGAACGCTGGCCGATAGAAAAGAAAGCCGAATTTTTTTTTCAGATATTTAGACGACTTACCGAAGGTTTCAAGACCAAGGCGAATTACTGTAAGAACAAGTACGGCGACCAAATGACCGATTTGCAGAACATACTTAAATTATGGATGGAACGCTTATCCAACCTGTTGAAAAGTAGTGGAGAAGATGAGCCCAAGCCCCCCATCCAATGACGACGGAAGTGATGTCCTAGCCGCCTATGACGAAGTTCGAATAGCAAGTTCGTGGCTAAAAAATAACAAAAGCCGGTCTACTAACACAAGTGCAAAGTGTATTCGGATGAATGCATGTCTGTAGACACCGCCAATTACTGCGGCATCAGCCACTTATCTTATATTGTCTGAAATGCTAAAGCCCTTCATCGATGAACTGATTAGGCCTTATCAGCTTAGTTTTAGGCTTAGTAAATTCACCATAGACCAAGTTTTGAAAATACCCGTGAGAACGGGAACGACGCACACAATTTATTTGTCGATTTCGAAACCGCTTCTAACAGCACGAAAAGAAGTTTTCGATATCGCGCGATGCCTGAATTTGATTTCCCCGAGAAACTAATACGCCTTAGTAAAATGATGTTGAGCAACTGCACCAGCTCCGTCATAATTATGAGGGACCTCTCCGAGCTCTTTCTGCTGCTGTGAGCGAAGGTCCCACACACGCTGATTACTGCATCTCGCACAAGGGTTGCTCGCGTTGCCCCGAGTGCCCGAACGGAGACTTTAGAGACGGTATTGAGTATGCTTGCAGTTATAACTATATACCCAGAAGAACGACGATAACCCATTGCTCTATTGCCGCTCACTCAATAAATTAAAATGACTTTGTATTTGTATTTACTAAGTTTATTTTGCAACTGCGCGTTAGTACTGAAAAAAATATCACTTTTCATACCTTAAACCACTTATCAAAAGTTGCATATAAACGACCCTCATAACTCAGACTTGAGTGAATGTTGACACATTTGTATTGAATTTTGAAATATTTTTTTTTTGTTTTTCAATCATTTTGACATTGGTAAATTGAAATGATTAAAATATGAATGTCTATACAAATAGATTTGCATGCAATTTGTCTGCAAAATGAGAAACCAAAACGGGCGGATATACATACATACATACATACTTACATACAAACATATGAAAAGTTGTAAAAATATGTAAAAGATGTTAAAAGTGACACAACACCGACGCCAAAAACGCGGCGTGGTCAATTAACAAAACAACATTCACACCCATGCCACAAGCAGCAAACCTACTGCTGCTGCTTGGGTATGCAACAATAAATTGCTGCCAGTAAAAATATCATTTTTTATGATTAACGAGGGCGATAAGCTGATTTTTCGATGTGCAATCTTGCAGTGGGCAGCTGCATCAAATACATAGTAAATAGTATAAATTGCTTAAACGTTAATGCTTGAAGTGGATATTAATAAAATGTGAAATATTGGCAAAAAAAAAAAAAGAGAGAAAAACTTTGAAAATCAAAATATGCAAATAGGAATTTACCTAAAGTGTGAACAGTTGGCGATTTACATCTGTCAATATTTGTATGGCTGCATTCAACAGTTTAGGTATCGCCTGCAGCTGTTAACACACCTCTGTACAGATTTAACAGCTGCTGGCGCGCAGCAGACTTTTTCAAAAGATGTACAAACATACATACATACATACATGGCAGCTGTAGCAACAGTGGCACCCACCCACTCTGCAGTGCGGCAGTGATCAATCGTTGTCTATTAAACGTTGAAAATACAAATGCGCATATTGTGGAATGGGATTTTTTTTTATGAATATGCAAATATGAAATAAAAATGGTACACCATCATCTTTCCATCTGCTACTAACATCAAGAGATGCATCAACTGCAGGTACAATTTTTGCATTCCACAACAGAATTTACGTAATTCAAAGATATACCGAAGTATAAGGTGAACATACAGTGCCGGACAAAAGTATGGGCACAGAGATATTTTCGCAATGTTTGCAAAGGTTTTTTATTCTAATACCTTTTCGGAAATTTTTTGTAAAGATATAGTTCATGCTACAACAAAAACATAAAAATAAAATCTTTAAACTTTGTGTAAACTCAATAGAAAGGAAATTCAATAGATTTGCATACTGGCTTGCAACTTTCTAATAAAATTTTTTTTTTATAAAAATTCTAAGTATGCTGTTTTATAGCCCATTAATTTTTAGTGTAAAAAAATCATTTCAAATTTTTCTAAAAATTCTGAGTAGAACGTTGCAAGTTAGTATGCAAATTTATTGAATTATTCTTAGTTTTGCACAAAGTTTAAAATTTTTTTTATGTTTTTTTTTGGTGCAGTATAAACTAAATTTTTTTTTATTATCGAAAATAAATAAGAAACAACAACTATGCATATTGCGAAAAGTTCTTAGTTCCAATACTTTTGTTCGTCACTTTACATACTTTATCTGGCATATCTCCCTTGCGATATTATCGATTTTAGGCCAACAGGTTATTTTGTATGCGCACTCACACCGCCAGACATTTAAATTAGCGCCATAAATTTTCCGATCTTACAACTTTAATTGCTGCAATTAACGCACGCAGTGCTGAAGGAAAATTAATTGAGATTTTAATGGCGAACGACAAAAAATTGCATAAATACAATTTTTCTTGGCGGTTTAATGTTTTTGTTTATTTGTCTGCTTGGTGTGTCTATTTTATACACCCGAAATAGCATAAACGAAGTGTCACTTTAAAATTATGACAGTAATTAACTTGAGCAACAAGTATTTATTTTGAATGCTTAAAAACAAATTAAATAAAATTGCAGTAAGTATTTTTTATTAACATTTAAAAATTAGCAATTTTATGAGACTGCTTTTGACAAAGTAGTTAAACAAAATTTTTAAACAGTATTGAATTCCAAATCCAATAGGCAGTTTTAATCGCTTAACCTAGATGCAGACATGCTTTTACTTTGACTACAATATCGAGCCCTAACCGTCAAATAAAAGTAAGCAACACTTTTTTTCGCAATTCTCTTTTTGATGCAGAAATGCGTGTAAATGCTCTAAAAGCATTTCTGCATCACAAAGAAATTTTTGAAAAAAAATCGCTTTTCTTTTTTTTTCTGGCAATTAGGACTCTATGTGTTCGCATCCACCACTAAATGAAATAGTTTTTTTTTGTTTTCATTGCAGTTCGCTGAACATGTTTTTGCCACATTCGCCCACACAACGAATGGCTTTCTATTCAATTTAAACATTCTTAGTACAAACACCGTAGCAGGCACCTTCTAACAGCTTTCAGTCCAGTACGGAGGGAAAAAAAAAACAACAGAACAAAAGCAGAAACATGTCAGCAAATACCGCTCTATTGAACGCCGCACACGCTATGCTCTCCTCTGATCTATTGCCAAATGTGAATCTGAGCAATTGGGAAAAACTAGTAACCGACGATGAGTTTCGCGATTTCATGAAACTAGTCGAACAATACAAGCATCCGAAGCATAATTACACACACGAACCAGGATTGGATAAGTGCCATGACTACTGCACGGGCGAATTGTATCAGATATTGCGCACCTACAATGGAGTTCATGGCTATGTGGCATTGTTGGTAAGTGGCTCAATATTCACTTGAATGTAATGTAATGTATAGATAAGTATTTAGTGTATATGTGTTGGTTTACTACAACGAAAGCTTTAGAACTGATTGAAGGAGAATTTAATAGACAAAGCTTACAAGGTTACTTTGTTTTTGGTTTGGTTTTCTATTTTCTGCTCTCGTCATTTTAATGGTTGTACATAAGTTTTGTTTTTCTCTTTTACATCCACACTAACTATTCAACTATAAGTTGTAAGCAGGGCTGCAAAGCCCTCCCTTAACGGGGGTGGTTTGGTTCAGTGGTTCGAACCAATTAGAAACAGCTTGTACCGGTTCAAAAACCGGTTCATGAGTATTTCTGAACCGCGGTACGGTTTGGTTCAAATGGTTAAATTTTTTGAATGCCAAAGAATACAAATATTACAAAAATTTGATAAATCTACGTACATATGTACATATGTAAAAATAAAAGGCTTTGTTATAGTGGTGGAAAAATAAATAGGGACGCAACATTTTTAAAATTTTGGCAATTTTGTTATTATTTAATGTTTTTTTTCATAGTTTAAGTATAGCGCATCTTCTAATAAAAACCAAATAGATCCAAGTTTAAAAATTTGTGCAAAAATTATGAAAATTCTTTAAATTCTCATATAACTTGCAAACTCTTTAATCAGAACTTCTAGATAAAAATTTTTAAGTTTCAAGATGATTTTTGTCGATTTTTTCACGGATTTTCTTCCATACATGTATGTTCGACAAATTTTTTGTATGAAAAATGATAAAATAATAGTAATATCGACATGTATAGTGGTGGAAAAATAAATAGTGACGCGACATTTTTAAAATTTTGGCAATTTGTTTTTATTTAATGTTTGTTGTTTTAAGTGTAGTGCATCTTCTAATAAAAACCGGATGGATCCAAGTTTAAAAATTTGTGCAAAAATTATGAAAATTCTTCAAAGTCTTTTTAAGTTGATTTTTGGCAATTTTTCACGGATTTTCTTCCACACAATTTTAATTTTTTTTTGTTTGTTGACTCTCAACAAAAAAAAATTATTTAAAATCAACGCGATCAACGAAATTAGAAAAATTTTAATAAACTTATTTAAAGTTTGGACAAGTCGTGTGTCTAATCGATTAGACAAAGACAACACGCTCAGAATTGGAGCTTACACTAGGCCTTAACCTCATATGTACATTAGAGTGGTCTTTAGTATTAGAAACTGTTTAAAGAGACAATTGGGTATTATTATTGGGAATCTCCTGAAGAGAAACAGAGTTTTCCGATCGAAAAATATTGATTGTAGAGAAATCAATACCATTTCTAAGAAAATTTGTTTTTCCCCATATAAAATACATGAAAAACGTTGAGCGCTTTGAGCACTCCCTAAATATTTTTTGATTTCCAAATAAAAAATAGGGATATAATTTTTTTCTGTATAGGAATATCCTAGGATGTGGCGCCATTGAAATTCCGACTTTACTTTTTCACATGCATTTTTGGACCACCCTAATGTACATGTACACCTCCGGTCAGAATAATATGAGTGCGATATTTGACTATTTTTCTTTCGGTTCTTAAATGTTCATAATTTTTTACAAAAGCTATATATTATATAGCTCCTTATATAACAATAACCATATCCAAATGTCAACTTTGTACGAAAATTAGAAAAAATCTACAAATTTCCAAAAAATTTCATTATAGCCTCAAACTTTTTAATCAGAAATAAAAAAAAATCCGAGTATGCAGTTTTATAGCTTACTCAACTTCAATTTAAAATGCCTCACTCACACAGATGCCATTAATTTTGGGTCTATGTAGTTCAGGTTTTATTCTGGAGCATTTTTGGACTAGTTCAGTTTCATTTTGGAACTAGTAAGGGCCCATTTTGGGACCGTTTCAACGCTTGTGGATTTTTCAGAACTACTTCAGTATAGTTTTGGTCCTAATTTGGAATCATTTTGATGCAGAAATTGTCGTGAGCTATTCCAGAAGTGTTTATGAAAAAGTCAGGTACTGGTCCCGACAAAATGCATGAAATGAGACCAAATTAATGTTCCTAACCTAACCTACTTACATATGTACATAAGTACGCAGCTTAATCGCCTAATGCTTCGCCAAGACGTAGATATTAGCACATCAAATTTTATTAGGAACGGTGGAGGTAAAGTATGTCATTTTACCCGAGTACCTGGTGATCACGCCTTTTTTCCGCCTCGATAAGGTCTCAAATTCAAGAAGGTGCAATGGTGTCTCTTTGGTAGAGTTGCAAAAGCCACAAAGATCATTTGATCACATTCCTAACTGATTCATCTTAGTCTACAGTGCCCCATTAGGATACCAGTTTATGTGTACTAGAAGCTACTGAAGTTTTTACAGTTTGACTTCCAGGGGTTTCCGCGTGACACCGTTTCCTCATTTTAGCCATTACTACTATAATTACAATTACTATTGTCACTACCATTACCACTACTATTACCATCACCATAAACATTAAATTTTTCTGTACTATTTGTTACTACTAACTATCCTTACAGTTTCTCTTGCCAAAAAAAAGTAAAGCACTATCAAATCTAAAGCCGCTGCCTTTGCAATTGATGCTTTATTTCAATTAAAATTTTACAGCTCAAATGTTGATAAAGCCAATATAACAGCACAGCTTTCTTTCAACTTTCAACTTTCTTCAACGCCATGGAACGCGCGCTGGCAATGACAAGAAGTGAATAGAGCAACAGTCTAAGGCTAATGGAGTTCGTGGAATTTTCGTAGAAAATCTCCATTAACGGCAGATGATGAGAGGTGTTTAAATATGTATCCATTGCGATTACTGTGTATAAACAATATACACTTAGGTCCTTTTTCATGCGGTACTGAACATAAATGAAATAAATCAAATTTTGTCTGTATTTTAATAAAAAAAATTAAAATAAAAATAAAAATAAAAATACCACAATAAATACATGAATTATGTAAAAATACAAAGACAAATTAATTATCAGAAGCATTGTGTCTTAAAAGAGCAAAAATCGCTACAGCGAAAAAATGGTTTGAAAAACCGCATAAAAAAAACCGCATAAAAAAGGCCGCATAAAAAGAGACCTAAGTGTATGTAAGTATGTATGTATTTACATACATATGTACATTGTTCATTTGCCAGAAGCTCTGGGCAGGTGCGCGAAATAATGGCTTCGCCTACGGTACATATGTATACCCCGTATGGCACCCAAGGCAAATGCGCCAACACATACATACGCGTGCACACTAAGGAAAGGACGCCCACGCAGCAGCCAGGATGAATAACGTCTGAACGAAAAGCATAGAAAAACTAAACAAGCAACCAACCAGCACACTAATGCAAAATGTTAATAGAAATTTAGTAAATGGGGCTATTTTGAATACATACCTATATGTATGTATACAAGCGTATGTGGCATCTGCGGAATTTCCACACCACAACAGCAATAATTTTCGCAGGAAAATTAGCTTAGGTTTTTAGACATTTAATGCTCTTTAGGTTTGCGTTGTGTGCAAATAAAGAAAATAATTTTGTAATGGCAATGATCGCGACGTCTATAAATTCGACTGTCGACTGCGGCGGAATCAGATTGTATGCGGGAGCGTAATAATTTTTGGTCAATGCCATCAGCGAATGCCTGCTTGTGTATTTACTACATTTACCTAAATCGGTTAAAGTAAAATTGACGTGAAATAAATTATGGCCTTACTTACTTTAAAGCTAACTTTCAGAACAATGGGTACACTCAAAATTTTCGCACCAGTAGTGAAGACTAACCACGAAATTAGCAGTCGTAAGCATAATAGATATGTGAAGCATTTGACTTCACCAAAAATCGCCAGATGACTCCGGCTCAACGTCTTTAAGACAGCTGTCACAATTAAGTTGCCGACCGATATCGATAGTTGCGACTTGCTGGTACCGTTGATATGAAATAGAACCATCCTCATGTCGTACGCTGACCATAGCTCAGTAATGGCGTCTGACAATAGAATTGATGACCTGTTCTCAAAAGTAAACGGTTACTCCCCTATACTTTCTCGCTTATTTACTACAAGGAGCCTAACCCGCAACCATTTTTACCACCTGCACGCTGGGTCCACATCGACAGCGAACCAATTCTGATAATGAACAAACCAAAAATCCACGGAGTAAACTTTGAAAGCCTGCTCTCTAACTCGACGAAATCATTACAATTTCCAACAAACTATAGAGCCACAACAAAGTCCTCAAGATGCAGCTACATACATACAATACGGCACTCCGGACAGCCACAGAATGATTTCGGATGTCGCTAGAACACCATTCACATAGTGGGGCCCAAATACTCTCAGTAAGGGAGCACAACATCACGCTCAGCGAGTAGTTAGTAAGGTATCACAGACGTGAGTACCCGAACATGCGGGGGCAGAACCTCCACCTAGGCATGTCAAAAGGCATATTTGCGGAGGACTAACGGACAAGGTTCAACAATACACACAACAAGCATTGGACGCGGCACTGTATAGACAGGCTATAAAAGGCATTCACATGGCCACTGTGCTTCAATTACCGAGAGGGATTCGCGTATCTCTGGCTCAATTACGGTTTGGAAATTGTAGCAGGTTAAACTGCGAATTGTCTCCGACGTACCACACCACCTCTTCACATGCCCATTCACCACAACTAACTAACACCCCCCCCCCCCCCCCCCC